CTCATAGTTTTATTTATCGAATGAGTGAAAATTTGCACAAAAATATAGAAATCGTATACTGGTGTAGCTAGAATAAGTCATCTCACGGCCAGAAAATCATCTAAATTATGGTTGAAAGAACTGAAGCTATATCCTTCATTTCATCGATCTCTCGGTAGTCCAAGTCACCAAAATAAGCTGTAGGTACGGTGTGTACGTAGAGGTGATGCTTTCGTCAAGAAGGAGGGCTCCATCGATCGATTTGACAGTAAAACGCATTATCGATTTATAGAGGTATATGCATGTCGAGCTCCATGTAGCAGCGAGGACGCTATGTGGCCCATATAAGCGATGAAAGGAGACGATTTAGGTACTCTAGTAGTCACATGTGATATTTGGAGCAAGTTTGGTGGCGGTAATGGAGTGTGTGTAGGCCTCAGGAGGGTCGATATAAAGCGCGTTATTGAGGGCTCTTGAGGACATATAAGCGATTCTTTTTTATGTAGCATGTGGTTGGCACCGATATGATTCTAATAATGATGTGAAGATCGCTTTATGTACAGGTTGTCATCACTGGCATTTATGCGTATAAAATTAGAATGTGTAATTTTCATCCCGAAAGTCAGCTTGGCCGAGTGGTTAAGGCGTTAGCCTGCTAAGTTAATGGGGCAACCCGCGTGAGTTCGAATCTCACAGCTGACGATCCTCTTTTGTCCCACCCGCCTAGCGATCTTTTTTTAATTCAAGGCCTTTTTAAACATTAATTTCATGCAACTAAAACCAGCTCCAAACTGCACTTTAGTTGTCGTTTTGGTAGAGTGGGTGGTACGGCGAGCAAGTGCAGTATGGAACATTTCTCTACTATCTCCACCAAGTACTAAAATACACATCTTTTCAAGCTCCAAACACGTCGTTGCTTTGACCGAGATTTATTCCCGAACGCCACAGGGCGCTAGAATGACCATACTATCTACCTGTCGACTCGATGGCGATTGCTAAAATACAAAACGTCCTCAGTTTTCAATTGCCAAGTTTAGCAACTCCTGCCTCCGGATGCATACGATCGAGCATCTCTTCCGAGAGCCCGATTCAAGCAATATTTTGGATAGTAAACTTTTTTCTCATAGTTTTATTTATCGAATGAGTGAAAATTTGCACAAAAATATAGAAATCGTATACTGGTGTAGCTAGAATAAGTCATCTCACGGCCAGAAAATCATCTAAATTATGGTTGAAAGAACTGAAGCTATATCCTTCATTTCATCGATCTCTCGGTAGTCCAAGTCACCAAAATAAGCTGTAGGTACGGTGTGTACGTAGAGGTGATGCTTTCGTCAAGAAGGAGGGCTCCATCGATCGATTTGACAGTAAAACGCATTATCGATTTTATAGAGGTATATGCATGTCGAGCTCCATGTAGCAGCGAGGACGCTATGTGGCCCATATAGGCGATGAAAGGAGACGATTTAGGTACTCTAGTAGTCACATGTGATATTTGGAGCAAGTTTGGTGGCGGTAATGGAGTGTGTGTAGGCCTCAGGAGGGTCGATATAAAGCGCGTTATTGAGGGCTCTTGAGGACATATGAGCGATTCT